AAATCCTTCGTACATTCAACAACATAAATTACAAGAACGAATTCCACATTCCTTACCTTTAATGGATCCTATGGATCGTGAATACAAAACTTGGAGAAGAATCACTTGTTAATCGAGTGTAATTAATTAACAAATAGGCTATTGATTAGAATCAATTTGTTAAAGTCTAAGAAAGAAAGTGCATAAAATAAATGGAAATCTCTATTATCGGTCTTATTAGCGATTGCTTGCTGGCACTCCTGTCTCTTTAGTTTTTACAGGTTAACTCGTGAGAAACATTAGATATATACGAGTAGCCATATGTAAAGTGCGTATCAAAGCTTTGCAAGTAAATATAAACGTACGTAGAACGACGTCGACGGGGCCTGGCGGCATCTAACACGTGGGCAGAACGCTCTGCGGCCCACGGTTTTTCGCGGCCACGACTAAAAAGCAAAGCAAAAGCAAAAGCAAAGCGAAACTGAACAAACTAGCTAGTGTTAGAGGAGAAACTGTCCTCATGCCCTTCCTTTCCAAGTCACGCATGCTTATTTACTCGTGTGTGTGATATCATTTTATTTTATAACTTTTACGTATTACGTAATTTAAGGAGACCATTTAAAGATTATAGAGGTTGTTGATCATGTTCATAGGTTTATAAACCCTTCCTATTTTTTGTTTACCTATAAGTAACAGTTAATTGAGCAATCATGAATTAACTTGTATTTGCATTTGTTTTAAATTATTTATATATAAATAAAGTTACTTCAAGTTGCTTCAAATTGCATATTTAATTGTAAAATAATAGCTGATGACATGGAATAATTTCTTTCCTAAAATTACCAATTACCAAATTAATGTTTAATATAAAAATTAAAACAACACACAAACAATATTGTCAGTTTTAGGATCCCCACAGAATATCTGACTATGAAAATAGCAGTTAATCCATCATTGGCTTAAGATAAGCTTAGGATTAGATCCCGGAAATGATTACGAGATCGACTCGAGCGGAGAAAGTAGAGATTTTTCTTAAGAGAAAGCATATTTCACTTTTCTCCAAGTAAACCAATGCATCAGGAATTTCTTGCCGAATTTCTTGTCGATTTGCAAGTTTTATTCAGAATGCTATTCTTAGTCGAGACGCAAGCTCAGGTGCAGAAAGTGCCGTAGGACGTTTCGAAAACCCGTAAAACACCCGTCGTCCGTATTCGTCCGTATCCGTGCGCGACGGCGCCACGATTTACATTCCTATTTATTTCTCGTGCACGCCTAACGTCACGTCACGTCACGTAGCTGGATCCCGAACGGCTTATCGAACGCTCGCGGCGTTGAAAGGTATAGTGAAAAATAATCAAATATACTAGGTGATACACTAAGAATAATCATCTATTTCAAATCTGATACTTCAAATTATTATTAAATTAATAAACTTACCAATAGTTCGTGCATACTATCCTAATAAATAAAAAAATCACCCTAGTAGCACAAAATATTGTTGAGGTTGTTGATCATGTTCATAGGTTTATAAACCCTTCCTATATTTTTTGTTTACCTATAAGTAACAGTTAATTGAGAAAGACTTACAAAAACATGAAAACAGTTAATTGCTAAGATATTAAATCTCTTTTTAATATTAAATACACATATATTCAATATTCTTCAATATTTTGTGCTACTATGGCATCTTACATCCAAAAATTTTAAATCACCCATCGATTAAATACAAATCCCTAAAAGGGTCAAAGATTTATTACATTACTAATTCTAAATTAAATTGAAGACATTTTAATAAACAATATCTTATTCAAGTTTAATATCTTCATCAAATTTATTACTATCAATATTTGAAATATTAAACAATTGTAATATCAATAATAGGAAAAGAAAATAAAGAAATACAAACATATGTTATACATACAACCTAAATCCCCAAATCTAACTCCCCTAAAATGTTATCCTATTGGGAATTACCTATAAGCTGAAAGAAAAACCTAATTTATCAAAAGAAAAAAGGAAAAACGAAAAAAATCGAATCTATTTGAACACCGTATACTTTACACAGACCAACCAATCTTAAACAATCATAACGATATCTTAAAACGAAAAATCATTCACTTTGGCATGAAAATCTGAGAACCTTATTTTTGTAATATAATCCAACCTTTCAAAACCAGGCCCATATATTCATAGAAACTTTTAGATTTAAAATAACTTCAAAAACCATCTTAAATTGATGAACTTTCTTCATGAATCTTCGTATACATATTCCTTCAACCCTGCTTCTGAAAACTTTCTGAACTATCGTTCATGTACAAACGTGAAATCCTTTTGTTCAAGAATGAACATGAAATGGACATGAATGAAAGTTGTCAAAGGCAACATAAACGTGCCATTTAAAGATCGGATGAATGAAATTAATTCTCTGTGTATATATTATGTACATACATACGGGTCTATTGTATGTAGAGATAATTCATCCATAATTCAAATCCCTGATCATCCGGAATAAAATCACGAGACCTCGATGAAACGAGTGAAAGTATCTTGTTAATTCTTAATTAACATCGATCCTAATTTAAATGAAACACTTTGATTACACATGTATGTACACTCTCTCACCGTTCTTTAGCATTATTTCAAAAATTTTAGATTATGTATTGGATTGATCAAAAAGTTAGTGTCAATTTTATTTAAAAAAAAAAGGTTCACAAACAACATTTGTATATTTGTAAATCGGTAGGAACTTTTTAGACAATTTATACTTTGTTAGTATATTGTTTTCTTGCTGTTTAGTATTTCAACTCGTTAGAATAGTGTCTCAGGGTTGGATCAAAAATAAAGGAAACATTAAAAAGAAATAGCTAATTGAGTAGAAGTCATCGTCAGAGCATCACACGCAGCAGGGGGTAAGAGAGTATTTGTTCACTGAGCAGGAAGCAATCTGTTTCAATATGGCCACTCGTCGAATAAGTAGCGTACTGTGAGTACTATCTACTTACGTACACGACTCACTTATCTCCTACGCTTTGTTAACCGGTCAATTGATAGCTGAGCGAGGACACGGCGCTTGATCTTTTTTCCAAGGCTTCCTACGATCAATCGATCGATAGATCGATCTAACTAAGAACACTATTTTAAATATCGTTTAGAAATCTAAATGTAACATTATATAATACACTTACATTCGATAATGAATGTCTTTAAGAATAACGATAAGGAAATTAAAACTGACTACTGTTTATTGGGTCAGTATTTGTATATATTTGTAGTCAGTGTTATAAATAAATGATCAATATTTATAATAAAATATCAGCATATATAATGAATGGTTTGTATTTGTCATAAAATATTAATATGTAATCCTAACATAATTTTGACGTAACCCTAGACCCATTATAAATGCTAACTATTAAAATTAACTTAAAAATAACTACCCATTTAAAATACTAACAAATTTTTATTTGTACTAAATATATTATATTCACCTCTTATTTTTCGATATACTAATTAAGAATCTAAAACTATAGGGTATTCTAGAAAGTTGTAAAAACTTTACAGTCATATTCCCATCATTATAATAATGAATAAAGTTTAAACATGGGTCCAGAAATATTTTTAATTATAGCCAGGTAAAGATTCTCCTCTTTTATTAACTTTAAAAGTAAAATGCTATTGTATTATTTTTTTCTTTTACGTTAATTTGTTCAGAATTAAATACTCAACAAGATTTGTAAATAAACTTCTTTTATCAAAGAAAAAAGTATACAATCTTGAACCGGTTGAAACTATGGAACCATTTGGGAAGTCATATTTGCATAAACATTTTTCTTTATTATAATCAAAAGAATATGTCAGTAAAATAAAAGAAACCTTGTAGAAATGATTAGAATTTTCAAGTAAAACGATATTTGCAAAAGTCATGTCCAGCATTATCTCGATACTTGCATTAATACAAATCGATATCGGCGACATTAGAATGACAATCGTCATAAAATCAGTACAAATTAACCTATCGACACAAGCGAGTCTCCACGCTCGCGTTCACGTTAAGTTGACGGTGACGCTAACGAGCCTGCATGGCAATTGTAATAAATCGAACGTCGCCTACCGTGCTAGTCACACCTGCTTCGAGATTATGCAGTTAGCGTAAATAAATCTTACCTTCGATAGGATTTTTCTTTAACTTGCTGACCAAGAATGCATGTTCTTCTAAATCAGATAAAACTAATATATATATATTAGATAACTTCGTGTTCGATTTTTACAAGTTTTTGATACGAACTTTTACAATCACGAAAATTATGTTGCAAATATCATTGATGCGTCTGTATTTTGATTTTTATCGTAATTTAATTATTTTTTAATTGATATACAAAATTCTACTAACCCATATGCATCTGACCATGAGCTCTAAATACATCAACATCGTATTTTCACTAAATATTCCATCCGTGAATGGAAATGGGTTTTAAAAAGTTGTTAGCTGTATCAGATTTAAAGAAAATACAATTACCATTTTCGAAAGATATTTGACAGATAATTGTAGTGTTACTATACGATTGGCATAAACTTATACAAATGGCTACACAATTATGCAATACTTATAGATTCATAGGGCTACACGTGGGCGAAAGATCCGCGGCACGGCACGATTTTATTAATTGGCACGCAACTGCCTAGCCGCAGTTATATTCCACTTAAATAATAATTACTTGGTGGAACTATCGCGCGGCGGTTGCGCCCACGTAGGCGCCGTTTATGCTTCGTTGCAGCTTCTCTCTCTTTCTTTCCCTTTTCCAATCTTTCTTCGTTTCCCTCCTTCCTTTCTTTCTTTCATATTTTTCTTGATCTCATTCTGTCGCCGCTCTCGTATTACGTCTACTTATTCAGGTGGATACGGTTAATCGATTTTCTCTAGGAATTCGCTTGGCTTTTTTTTTCTTTTAACTTTTATCAACCCGTTAAAATGCTATGTTTTGGTAAAATTGATTAAACCTTACTAACTTGCACCTTTCCAGAGATAATTTGTACCGCTTAACGTTGACGTCTTTAACATCTTTGGAACATGCCTCTTGGACCGCACCGGAAGATAAAATTAATACCTGCCAGAACAAAGGCCAAAGTACTGAGGATTGTCACAATTACATCAAAGTACTTCTCAGTAATGGGAAAAGTTTATTCACCTGTGGTACTTATGCCTTCAGTCCTTGGTGTACCTGGAGAGAGGTATAATTCATTTGAATTTGTAACCTCTTTGAGAACGAACTAATTGTTAATAACTAAATGAGATCGTTTCATTATTTTCCACAAACGAAGATTGAAAATATCACCAGTGTGACGAGCGAAATGTCAGGTGTTGCGATGTGTCCTTATTCACCACATGCCAACGTAACTGCACTTTTAGCCAGAGGTTCAGGTGGACTGTTTGCTGGTGCACCAACTGATTTTTCTGGTTCCGATCCTGCGATCTACAGGACTCTTGCGTCACCAAATCTGAGGACTCATCAGTACGATTCTAGGTAATGAAATTTGTACTCTTTCATTCTAATATTTCTCATATAACCTTTTCTATGCTACTTTGTTTATTTATTAATTAATTATATCTAAATACACCGAATTATTTATCATTGTTTTCAGATGGCTGAACGATCCACAATTCGTTGGTAGTTTCGAAACCGAAGATCATGTATATTTTTTGTTTCGTGAGACCGCAGTGGAATATATCAATTGTGGCAAGGTAAAATCGATTTATCTTTCTTTTCTTTATATTTTGACATCCATTGTCAAAGACATTATTGCGTTACACGAAGATAATCGTATAATTTGACTCTCAGTACAATTGTGAATAGCATGCCTAAGGATTTAACGAAGCGTTAAATGTTTTTCGTTACAGAAAATATATTCGAGAATAGCACGGGTTTGTAAAAACGATCGAGGTGGGCAGGTCATGATGAAGGACGTCTGGATGAGTTTCAGCAAGGCTCGTTTGAATTGTTCCCTTCCGGGCGAGTTCCCTTTCTATTATGATGAGATCCAGGGTGCTGTCTATCATCCCGAAGAAAGAATAGTTTACGCGACTTTCACAACTCCGATGTACGTTAAAAACTAACTTTTAATCATTTTTTTATAAAACAAATGAAGAAAATGAAAAGAAGAAATAAACAAAAAATATCATTAACGTTAATTTTATGTCTGTCCATAAATCGTACGAGGATGAATATGAGGGTAATATTAAATAACAAAGTGATGTATCATTCACGTGAAGCTAAGTTTTGTTAATGATCAAAAAATAAAACATAAGAAAAATCGAGCAAAAGAGTACAAAACAATGATTTTATATTTTCTTTTCGTTATAATAAATTGTCGTTTTTACAGTAACGGAATAGCTGGTTCTGCAATTTGTGCATTCAACATGTCAAGTATCATAGCAAGTTTCAATGGGCCTTTCAAGCATCAAGAGAACTTAGGGGCTGCTTGGGAAAGGCGACCGGTTTCTCATCACAACAGGGAGCATTGTCCATTACCAACGAACACAACTCGTCATTTAAGTGACAATCAGATATACCAATTAATGGATGAAGCTGTTCAGAGCACAACGATGGAGCCATTGCATACCGTAACTTTGGAAAGATTCACACAAATCGCTGTAGATGTGACACCAACTAAATTACATCGCGGAGTAACTGTACTTTATGTTGCCACAACTGAGAGATTGATTAAAAAAATATCTGTACTTCCGAGGACTCTGGAAACTTGTGTAGTCGAAGTTTGGGGTCCGCTTCCATCGATGCCAACAACTTTGCAGTTTTTAAAGGATACCCAAAGTTTATATGTTGGCATGGAAATTGGTTTGTTAAGGTAAAATGAAGTTTGATTTAAACTACAGGTTTAACAGGTGTATATTGATCTTATTTGATATTTATTCGAATTATGTTATGATTGGTATTAATTAGAATACCGGCAGTTCAATGCCACCGTCATCGAAGTCGTCAAGCATGCCTGAATGCACAAGAACCTTATTGCGGTTGGAACGAGCACTTGATGAAGTGTGCCCAAGCACCAAAGCAGAATCATATTGCCACTCACTGGCATCAGGAAGTAACAAAATGTCCGGTACTCACTGATCCAGTCGATGGTGGTTGGAGTGCATGGAGTGCTTGGTCAGCCTGTCAACATGGTACTGGAGATCTGTCGTCTCATGGTCATTCTCATTCACACTCTTACTTTGATCACGAAGAGGTGCATATATTATCCTATCACTTGAGGATTATGTTCAATTCCTGAGATAACTTACGATCTGAATTTATTTCCAGATCACCGATAGTTGTCAATGTCAAACCAGAGAATGCAACAATCCACCTCCGCAACATGGTGGTGCAGGTTGCGTTGGAGCACGTGTCAGGGTTACCAACTGTACTGTCCACGGTGGTTGGACAACATGGTCCGCATGGTCAGCCTGTTCTCAAACTTGTGGCTTCGCCATGAAAACACGTAGACGTAGTTGCACGAATCCTTCTCCAGCTTATGGTGGTCGAGTCTGCGTAGGACATGATCATGATGATATCGTTTGTATCGATCTACCACCTTGTCCTACGCCAGCTAAAGTTACACCACCACCTCAGAATGGACAATGGTCTTCTTGGGGTCCATGGAATGCCTGTTCTCGTCCATGCAACGGAGGTAAGACATTTTATCTCATTAATTATAATTATCAATCGTCAAACGCAATCTGTTATTAACAATACCTCTCTGATTCTTTTGTTTCCAAGGTATTCGAATTAGAAGGAGAACCTGTGACAATCCTTCGCCTAGGAAAGGTGGTGCCGAGTGCATTGGATGTGACTTTCAGGTGAAATATATTAACATACCGTCAACTTTATTAAAATGGATGAATAGATGTTTGAGATGATTGGTTAAATAAATGGAATGCAAATAATAATGTTGATCTGTACGTAGGTCGAGGAATGTACTCAACAATGCGGTGAGACTAGAAGATACTCAGGCTGGACACCTTGGTTAGCCGTGAACGCATCTATACAAAATGGAAGCGTGGGTTACACTGAAAAGCGCTTTAGATTCAGCTGTCGCGCTCAAACAGACGATCCCTCCAGTGTGAGAGTGCAATTTGCTAAAGAGGAGGAGCGTTATTGTAGAGATGATGGTTCTTGTTTACGAACCAACATCAACGGATATGGAGATAGCGTGGTCGAAAGTGGTTGGAGTGACTGGTCAGCTTGGTATCCTTGCGATCGACCTTGTGGAGGAGGCTCACAACGTAGAGTAAATATCGAAACTTGCTATTTTTAAATCGATATAGTTTGTTTACATGTTGTTATAGGACAAGTTCATAAACACTCAGAATGCAATATGTACTCGTTTTCGATTACAATAACTCGGGAATTTATATATTGAAATGTATGTTTTATTTCGTTGAGCCTTTAAGGTGTACATTATTGGGAAAATTTTAAAAGATTTAGAGTAGATATTTGAATAGTTTTTAAAAAGTTACAATATTTTTTGTGGATTTAAAAAAAAAGAAAACTCTAAAAAAATTGTTTTTAATTTTAATGAAAACGCAGAGAAGACAGTGCGAGTCTCCACCATGCGAAGGAATGAACGTGCAGACAAGAATATGTAATGCTCATCCATGCAGAACAACAACTTTTGGAAATAGCGTAGTAGAAGGGCAATGGTCCTGTTGGACGGACTGGTCCGAATGCTCAGCTACCTGCGGTGTAGGTGTTCGTACTAGAACAAGGGAGTGCATCGGACCAGAAACCTGTGACGGACCTAGACTGGTCAGAGAGACCTGTGAAATGCCTAGTTGCGATTCTTTACTTGGTTGGGATACCTGGTCCCGTTGGACCCCTTGCGATAGTGATCGTCAACAACATCGAAAACGTCAATGTCTTCAACATGGCAGTGGAATGTGCCAAGGACTTAGTCGTGAAACTCGAGATTGTCTTTCAGATTGCACGGACAACGGTAAGTTATTCAATTCTTTAAGGAAACAATTTACTCACAAATGACTTTTAATAATAATAATAACCATTCAGATGACTGGATTTTAGTCAATTTGTTTCATTGGTTTAAATAATAAATGAAACAATATATATAATTATAGTTATCAAGTCAAATGAAAAAAAGCAATAGCATTAAATGCAGAACTTTAATTGACCATATAATCAGTTATAATACGTTTAGTATTAGGATTAATTTTGATACCAATTCCAGATGTAAACGCATTACCATCCAGCGTAGAAACTGCCAGCGTATCTGTAGGGGCTGTAGTAGGCAGTTGCATCATTGGATTCTTCATTGGACTTGCTTTAACAGCGATTCTTTGTTTCTTTTATTTAAAACGAAGAAAACCACGTGTCCCTGGTAGTCCTCATTACATCAGCAAACAAAACCCTTATGTCACAGTGCCATTAAAAGAGGTAGGAAATAAACAATTAAATAATTCTCATTTGATGTAAAGGATTATTATTAATAAAATTCATTACATTCAACAGGTAAATGCTAAAAGACAGCCCAGTTTCTCTGGCAGTACGAATGGAAATGGTACGCTTCGTGGAAAAACCAATCCAAATGTGAACGGCCTTGGAAGCCCAAAATTGTATCCAAAAAGTTTGGAATACGAGTCTGCCACATTGAAACGCAATAGTCATGGTCAACAACATATTCGTGCTGACCTTGATCAGGACAAGTACTATTGAACAAACGATCGACTGCATTTATATCGTTTTTTATAGTATTACTTCACAAGACTTTACAAAATTATGAGAATTATATCATCGAGAAAGGATTGATAAAAAAAAGATATTCATTTCTTTTTTTAATCATTGGGTCACCTTAAAAGGGACCAAAAAGAAAAACATATCGGGTATTATGTTTACTGATACTAGAATGTAAACAAGCAATTGATAATAAGTGCATTTCGGAGAATATCTACTTAATTAAAGTAATTAAGATGAGTTAAGTACGAGAAAACAACGAGTTTGAACTCTTAATTTTTAACGAAAACTGATGAATCCATCAAAAAAAGAAAAGAGGCCTAATTTTATAAATCATGTAAAAGCCTTAGCAGGATGCATGAAGTGAGAGAAATATTTTTTACGAGAGAATTTACATAGTTTATTTTTATTTCTCATGTAAATAAGTACGAACAAAAAGTATATATAGATAAGTATGAGTTTGAGTGTGATGAGTGATCAAATATGTATGTCTTTGATTAATATTTGGGTTCTATATTTGTACAAAGATTTCGTGCATTTATAAATACCAATTGAGGCTGAGATTTTGTCTAACATAAAACGAACAAAAAAAAACAAGGTGTACATAGATTAACGAATGTTTTCTTTTTTCTTTTCTTCATCATAAAAAGAAAAAAGAAATGAATTTTGATACCGAATAAACGTAGTGCCATGATGAGTTTGTACATATAGACAACGTTTTAAATAATAAAATATAGTTTTATATATATGTTACTGTTAAAATGTCTAATTGAGTTAATTTATTAATTTACTAGATATTACATGAAGTAACTAGACCAAGGAAACATATAGAAGATATTTTGTTATACATTTTTATTAGTTGTTTCACAAAATAACTAGTTACTATGTGAAATAATGTTAGGTGCCTAGTTATTGTATCATAATTCCATTAAGGATTATTATTTTGGCATAGTCAATGAAAAATTACATTGTTCAGTATTTTTCCTTTTTTTATACAAAGACACTTTTTTGTTTTACATTTTTGAATCCAGTGATAGGTTTTAATAAATCTCTAAACATTTTCCAAAAGAAAAATTAAATTAATTTTTCATTTCCTTGGATTTAAATTATATTTTATAAACTTTAATATTTTTGTTTTCAAAGTACAATATGAGATAAAAACGAATAATTACGAGACAAGAAAATTTCAATTTCAAATTCATATATTATCTAGTTAAATTATGTACACATGCCTTATTTCATAATTTACCTAATCAATATAGTTATTTCATATAATTCCTAGCTATTTCATGAATTAACAAATTTCAAAAAATAACGGTAACATATATATGTGGATGAAAACATGTGGATAAAGAAAAAAAAAATGATGAAGATATATGTTTGATAGAATTTAAATGAATGTATGTTATATTTAAACGTAACTTGAGTCCAACCTTTTTTCATTTAAAGTTACGTTTTGCTATTGACTCATATTGAGTCGTATGCGAGGTTTGTATTACGTTTTAAGGGAACAGTTATTGCGAAAACGATGATACGCCTTATATTGCCGGTCGTGTTAATCATTTTCGGCGAGAAATATAGTAAATTAGAGTTGTATAAAGACTACACTTTCAAAAGGTTGCATCATATTTAAAATGACTTGTTTTTTTAAAATGATGACAGACTCTCTGTAAGATTACAAATAGCTAACGAGTATGTATGTGTGTGTGTGTGTATGCGTGCAAGTGTGTGAGAAAGAGAAAACGTAGGGGAAAATATGCTATCGTTAAGACTGTTTGAACGATCTTAACGATCTCTATTTTTTACATCGATATTCTTTTAAGCTCTTTTTACGACCCTAATGAAGGTAAAATATTAACAACTATTTGTACCCCATACATTTATATACCCACGTTGCCCCCAATGACTTTCCCGACCCTCTACCAACCCTATTCGAAACGTTTATGTTAATAAAGACAATATTTCCCTTCAAATTTGTCGTCTTACGAATTGAATTTCTTTCTTTTACAATCAAAAATAAAACAGGATGAAAAAGATGAAAAATTATGAAGTTTTTGAAAAGAAGTATATATAAAGATGTATTATTAATTGTGGAAGGATGCATACAACAATTGCAACAATATGAGGAAACTTAAATTAGGTTTAGTTAACTTAGGATTAATATATTAATACAAAAAGGACACATGCAACAATTGCAACAATATGAAGAAACTTAAGAGTTAGGTTTGGTTTAACTTAGAATTAAAATATTAATAGAAAATTTTTCAAAATACTTACCTAATAAATAACAACATATTTATTATTCACATTTTTTTAAAAATAATTATTAATTCGTAATACTTAACATAACTTATTTATTTTTTAAGAAAATAAATGATACAAAATAACATATAAAAATGATAAGAATGAAATTAAAAGAAAAAAAGAGAAGAATTATGAGAAAATTTGTAACCAAAAAATGGACAGAGAGATAAACCATCTAAAATTTGTCTAATTTAATATTTTTCTCCATATTTTTGGAATAATTTAATGGTATAGTCCATATCAGTATGCGAAGGTGGTGGATGGCAAGTGACAACCATTCGAAAGAAATTTACCAAATTTTTATTAGGCAACGGTGTATAACCAATCATCAAAGTACCATCAAGTACCATTTTTTCTTTTATCGACGTCGTAATTCTGGACAATTCATCCCACCATTCTTGGGTCTCTTCTTGGCCGCGCATACTAGATGGGATGTACCTAAAAAAAAATTAAATTAAAATATGATCTACTTAATTAATTTTTGATTATTTTAAAGGCTCTCATAGGTTTCTGCACAACTTATAAAATTTGATTCATTAGTAAAGTAATTCATAAATAATATAATAATTATTGAATAATATTAATCAATGATAAATATAATTATTTAATTATTATTAAATAATCAACAAAATCAAAACAGAAACGTTTAAATGTTTATTAATGCAAAATGAATAAAATTATCATATTTTTCATTTATCAAATGCAATAGTAATGAAAATGTAACGTGGCAAATAGCATGACTTTTTTTATCAAAAGCATTTATATAGCAGCTGATAAGAAAATCTTGATATATGTCATAATTCTTAACCATAGTAAAACATATTTGAAATAAAAATTGAATTGCTTCGGAGGAGAGGGAGGAATTAAATCTACCAACTTTTTTTTAGTAGACGCGTCAAAATAATCTAAAGGTCAAACTTTTTTTTGTTTAATGTTATCATACATTTTTTAACCCATTTGTTTCGATGAATGTTAAGAAAAAAATGAATATTTAGAAAATATTTAAATTTAAATATGATTAAGAAAGTTATTTATAAATGAATTTAATCTACTAAATTGGAATTTAACCCCTACAAGAGATTACTAAATACATTAATTTTATGAATGAGAACGACACATTTGAAATATTTACCAAAAGCAAATGGTATTGCACTCGAAGTCAGGCAAAACGAGCCTAAAACCATCTATAAACTTTATTCTATCTTTAAAATATTCAGCAGCTGACATTGCTATTTGCACTGATATATCCAAACCAATTGAACCATATGCCTTCCACATAAGCCAAAATTTCATAGCATCTACCTAAAAATAATTTTCAACGATTGTTATGTTAACTCCGTAAAATATTTCATTTGTAACCAAATCTACCCTCCAACCGGTTTCAAAAAAAAAATTTAACTAAACTCACTTTTATCAAAACAAACAAAGTCTTTTTTCTAAATCGGCACGTACTTTTCTAGCAATCCAATACAAACCTTTCTACCACATTGCACACTCTTGTCACCAGTGTCATAAGAAACGTCGTAAAATTTGTCCTGCTGAAAAAGATACTTCGCACCGGCACAATTAGTCTCGTGCAATGCTTTTTTACCTTTTACTAAAAATACAGAACACTGTAAAGGTACACCAAGCATTTTGTGTGGATTCCAGGAAATTGAATCGGATCTAAAATGAAAATGATCAAATTTGAACTTATTTTCGATTTTGTTCAATTCGATATATAAGTTTTGTACTTTAAATTCACCCTTTAGCAAATTAAATTCACATAAATTGCAAAAAGGATGCATTTAGTGCAAAAATGCAAAATAATGAATTTAAAGTATAACTTTTATAATAAAAACAATTACGAACAACTCAATCCCAGTCAAACGTTCCCGATAAGTGTTACAAAGCAGTAAAGTTCCACCTAGACATGCCTGTTTAAATAATTATAATATATAAGATTGCAATAGACAACGCAAAATAATTTATAAACATTTGTGTTCTCATAAAAATAATACGAACGTCAACATGCATCCAAAGAGACTCATCCTTGCAGATCCTAGATATTTCATGTAGTGGATCGATCGCACCAAGAACTGTTGTTCCGCATGTTGCATTAACAAAAAATGGCAATTTGTTGTTACTCTTGGCCTCCTGTATTGCATTTCTCAACTCTGCTGGTATCATCTTTCCTGACTCATCAGTCTTGATCTAAAACAAGTCATGAATTTTGCAGTTATTTTTCTCTTATTTCATTATCCATTTGTAGAATATGTTCCTATAGTCTGATCGGTAAACCACATGACACTTAAAAGGTAAATATAAGATACAATGCATAGAAACCTTGTAAACTTGATCAGTTCCGATACCCAACCAATGAGCTGCCTTCATTATAGAATAATGACTTTCTTCACTAGTAAAACATGCTAAAGCAGGAAAAGTACTGGCACCCTTTTTTTTAATATCCGGTAATGCCTTATATCTAGCCATTACCATGGCGTACATGTTAGATATACTACCACCTGGGCAGAAAATCCCATCAGCATCCGGCATTAATGGATAACCAACAAGCTTCAAACATTCGTTTATTATCTCTTGTTCAATCAACGTAAATACTGGACCCACTTCATATGTGTACCTTAAAAAGATTATTTAACAGACCATTACAAAATGTTAAAGAACGAATTAATTTACAGAGCTGGATAATAATGTATTTTTATCCACGTACAAAATGTAAAAAAAAAAAAAAAAACAGAAAAATATTAAATTTATATAAAATCCATATAAACGGATGAATTTATATTACAAATGACTGATTCCATTCTAATCAAAAGTATAATTAATTATATCACGTTATTAATGATTATTGAATGAATGATGAACTTTGTCTACATGATTTTCATTACTTCTCTTATTTATCAATCAATGATTCTTCATTAATTAATAATTATTATTGATTATTTAATTAATAGACTGATTTTACATTAAACGTAATTTTCAATTATGAATTAGATTACATTTTGCTAAACCTGTTGATAATACGAAACTTACTGACTCGTATTTAAAATTTCGGTAAGCCAAGCACCAACCATTCCATATTTATCCACACCGGCAAAAAGTTGATTGTGAAAGTTAGGACTAAAAGTTTTAACAGAGTATTTGATTATTTTTCGTATTACAGTATCCATTGCTTCGGGAGTGCTCCCATCTTGTGATAATTTAAATGAAAATAATTCCTGAAAATGTACATATAGAAATTTAATAAGAAAGATAATTCAATTTAAAAAGTAAAAACAAAAATAAAATTAATCGAATGATCCAAAAAAGTTCAAGCTAATTTATTAACAAAAGCTGTCAATATTTAATCGAAATATTTGTAAATATCACAATTTTTATATTTTCGTGTTTTTATTTTAATTCAGCTATTGAACAAATCTGAGTTTTCCAAATTTTCCTATTCAATTCATCTCATTAATTTTCAACGGGATTAAAATTACTGAATTTTAACATATTTTTTGCTTTTAAAATATTTCTAATATCATATCGGTGAAAAACACGTTGTAATATGTTCTTTATTAGCTGCTACATTTAATTAATTTAAACCACTGATTGGAAATGAAGAATTTTGAGGTCGACCATTTCGTTTTAATTGGTCAATCGCTGGAAAAGTCGATGAAACCATGAACGAATTTGAACAAGGTCAGTACATTGAAAGTAATGATATCAATAAGGAACTAAAAATCGAACTAAAAATAGTTTTAAACCATTTGGAAAATGCACAACACGAAATATGCAATAAAGTTGTTTCATTGTTTCATTAAAATACGAAAAAAAAGTTTGACGCAGAACATTTTGGAAAAAAACCTAAATTCAACAAGGACCATCGAAAATAGAGAAAACTTAACAGTTTATGCAAATTTTGAAAAAAATTGATAATATGTTTAATAATATAAATCATATACACACACACACACACATAATTATAAATCGGCATGAACTTTCCTAGTAACCCAATAGAAGTATGATAATGTTCATGGAGTCAAAGATTAATGGTAAAATGCGAAGCTGATAAAAAAATGACATATTGAACATAAGTTCAACGAACGTGCATGTACACACACACACACACTGAATAATATTATCCATTTTATTGGAACGATCGAACATTATTACAGTATTTTTTTGAAACGTACGTTTAATCCAAAAATATATCAAGAATATTTCAAAATACGAAATTTTATATATTTTTCTAAAAATTAAAAAACTAAGATTTGTTATACTAATTATGAATTTATTGACGACAAAATATCAAAAAACAATACGGATATCAATTATTTAATATTTATTTATAATAAAAAGAAATTCATCTAGCATAATTGTGAAAATAAATCAAATTAAAAAACTAAAATAAAAATTATACTTATTTCTTACTATATCGAAAAAAAATTGACTTTTCATGTAAAATACTTTCCATAACGTTATCAATGGCTATAAAAATATTTATATTTTACAATAATATTTACAGTAAACATAAACGTTAACGAAAAAAGGTATCACGTTCTAACAATTACACAGTTAAAAAGAGATCACACTGTATCAAAAAATAATGACATTAAAATTTGATTCGATCAAGGCTACAAAATGTAAATATTTATATTAATTTAAATTTACAGAGATAACGATTTTATACAACAGTAATTATTTATATCATAATTTCAATAGAGTAAAACTCACAATTTTATTTGTAAGTATAAAAAATGTTTACTTTTCCGTGCATTGTCCACAAGAGAACACTTCAACAACAAGTTTCACTTCTCGACGATTAAAAAGTTAATAAAAAAAAAAAAAAGAATCTACATATACCTATAAGTAAACTGATATACACCTTACACTTTTCAATCTCAACCATGTCATTATCGTAAATCAACAATTCATGTTTATTTTTCAGTAATGAAACTTAATATTTTAAACACAATCACTATTTATTATTTACCTTGAGATCAGTAGGATGACGAAAATTAACTACTGGAGCATTAGGATCAAAAATATTTTCCTCTTTAAGGATCCTTAGAAGATCTTCAAGCAATTTAAGTATCCCGTTATCGTTACCAGCCACAGACATCGTGAAAGTCGTACTGAGGACTTCGTTCAAGCTGAAAGCTGTTCTTACCATGGGATTTAGTATGTAGTAGTATTTGTATGTGTAAGTAAGTACGTATACTTATTTACAAACATGTGACAAACCAAGCAGCTGCTATAAGAAAGAAAGAGATAGAATAAATGTTCATATCATTGAAATGCATGCGCAAGAAACAGCCTAATCAAATGAATTCACTCTGTCATCCTTCCCCTTTTTTTTCTTTTTTCTATTTTACTTCTTATTTTTTTATTTTGTTTTATCTAACTTAATTGTTTATATTACTGTAAAGATATGAACATATCTAATCGGATTAAAACAAGTCAAGGTAATTCGAATAATACTCAATGTTTCATTCACTTTTTTCCAATTATTTTAGATATTGATAAATTTGTATTGTTATTTTTATTTATTTATTTAGTTTATTATTATTATTATCATTATTAGATAGTAAACGAAATTCCTGCCGTTCTCTGTTTAAGAATACTGGCAGAGCTGGGTAAAATACTATTTGAAATCGTAAATATTAAAAAAAGTTTTGATATATTTTACATAATGTGGATGTATTTTAAAATAAAATATTATATTTATGTATTAATCTATTAGTTCAAATGCTATTTAAAATAGAAATTAGTCAAGTATTACTCACCTTTAGATACCGGTTCCAACGTTCGCACATTTTGTCAATAAGGTCTTATCTTTTGTAGTTTAAAAAATAAGGAATTATGAAGAAACAAGTCATTTTCATTTCCGAAAGAGTTTAAGTCTTTAAAGGTTTAATTTCTTGATAAAAAAAATATTCATGTTCATCCGACAACTGCTTAGTCAGTAACTTAACTTCAAAAAAATTACAGCTCAAAGACATTATTTATTATCAAAAGTCTATAATGACAAAAATGAATCAAAAAGAAACTATAATTTTGACCTGAAAGTCAAAATACATCCATAGCAATTAAAATAAATTTTTAAAATTCGAATAAAAAATCATGGTAAGGCAGATCGAAAAAAGTTGTTCCATGGTCGGCATCATGTTTCCAATAAATGTTGATCGATCTGCAAAATTAAAAAAGAATTCTTGTAAAATAAAATTGTAATTATGTATAACTATAAACCGGAATTTTGAATTTCGTAAAATTTTAAAATAATAAAATCACCCTCTATTCTGTTTTACCGACATTCGGATACACTCTGCGTATTTTTAATACCATTATTATCCGCTAGTTGGCAGTCGCGTCGTTTGATATCAAATTATAAGAAACTTACACATCTTATTTGACATTGAAGTATATGTTTTAAAAATGGCGGGAGAATAGTTTGTAAAAGTTTATAAATGTATTAATGTTTCATTCATGTTTCATGTATTTTAAGTGATATATTTATTTTGTGTTGTGTGTGTCCATGATGGAAATTTCGAATAGTTTCCCTAGCACTAGTCAACAAATATTGCAGGCACCGCAATGTACACCTAGATTAACATTTACTATAGATAAGGAACGGTTGGATGATGATATTAACACATATTCTCAAGGTATAATAATTAAATACAATGTATGTTTTTGTTTTTTTGTTCTTTTACGTAAAATAATCTGTATATTATAATACATTTGACAGTATCACGTTAATTTCATACTGTAGATATAATATCTGTAACTTGGAATGTATTTGGAGTATCAACGTTGTTTGGATTTCAATATGACGATAAAACTATTCTTAAATTATATGGAAAACGATTAAGAGAAGAAATAGCAACTAATTTATCACATGAAAATGTAACATATAATGCTAATATTTCTATTCTAGGAGATACAACAACAAATCAACCTTCAATAAAGGTTTTTTTATTTTATTCATTATTTTTATTTTCTATTCTTATTATTTTTAAATTATTTTGACAAATTTATATATAAAACTGTATATATAATATTTAATTACATATAATGCGTTTCTAATATTTATTGAAAAATATTTATAAATTAATTTCAGGTTGAAGTTTTCGCAAAGAAATCAGATAAAGATGAACAAAAAAGTATTTATAAAGGATTTTTTCTATCATGGAAGAAAAATGATATAAGTAACAACAATACAACTAGATTTCCATTATTGTTATGTCGTGGTAGTCGTCCGTGTATGAACATTGTACATTCCACTTTTAATCGCATGTTTGATTGTCTTATAATTAAATTACCTATCGAGGAAGATGATTTGATTTGGTTACTTGCAATTATAATCGTACCTGTTAATGACAATGACAATTTAAATAAAAACAAGGATGTTACATTAGAATTTAAAGTACCTGGATTACCGATTAATAATACGATTAGTGTTCTATTTAAAATTTTAGATCTGATTAATATTTTAAATGCGTACGTTTCAATATTGTTATAATATTAATAACATATTGATTATAAAAATTAATATTATAAATTAATTTGCAGTATAATAGAAAATCAAAGTGATCAAATGGAAACGGATATATCAGAGTTGACTATTGAACAAATTCAAAGATTTCGTAAGTGTTTATACACTCAAATAAAAAACATTGCTGGATTAGAATTAGGATTATGCAGTTTGCACAGAATTAGTTTACCAGCTGCAACTATAATGGGTAACAAGGTTAGTTATTAATTGTAAATTGATTTTTTACTTTAATAATATATATTTTTAAATAACAATTAAAATTAGAAACGAGAGACAGAATTATAAATTATTAATAATTTATTACCATTTTGTAGATGAAGATAATGGACCCATATTGTCAAAAGCGTATTTTATCATATATGATGGAGAAATCTGTAGACATGTTTCATGCATTTTTATAACAATTGATTTTAGTATGTGTAATATGTTTATTCTTTCTTTTATTTCTTTTTAATATTCTTTATATATATATATATATTTCTTTTTAATATTGTATAGATAAATTGTTCATAAATATTCAATTATATAATAACCATTTACATTCATATTGTTTATCTTTTCAGTCATCTATTATGTTTAAGGTAAAACTTATGTCATTTCAACTTCCTCGTCTACAATATCCATCTATAATATATATAAAATAAATATAATAAATATAAAAACAATGAAAATAATTATTTATCACATTGCATAACCAAGTAATTCAAGAATATTTTCTTTAGAGATCAAATATGAAATATAAGACTGACATGGCATGCACTAAACAATTATAACATATATTTGAATATACTTGGTAATAATTATTTTAATAAACATCTATAGATATTTAATGTTTTTCAAACTTACACTAGTTATCTGTGATTTTGAATTATTTTTCTTTTCTTTGAGATTCAATAAATATTGTCTGATATCTACATAACCATCAGGTTTCTCGTCAAATGGAGGTAAAGATATTCCAAGTATTTCAGGTAACATAAAAAGTTTCAACCATGTTACAAGAGGTGTACGACCTTTAGTGTATAATCCATCACGATGATAAAATAATAATCCATCTAATGGTGTTAATTCATTTAAATTTCCTAACGATGATTCTAGATTGCAATCAAAATTTATATGTGGAAGTAATAAAATAGGATATCTATTGTTATAGGTATCACCTCTTTGTAATTCTTGTATTTCTTGAAATTTTGATATTAACCAAAAAAATCGAAACTCTGTCTGAAATGAAAAATATCATTAAAAAGAAAATTAATCAATCAATTTCTTATAATATATATTCAATGATATGAATAATATTATGCATTACATCACAATTTATAAGGGACTGATTAGACCAAGCCAGTACATCCAAAACATAATATGTTTTTCGACTTTCTATCCATATGCAATCCAAAATAGTGCAACGACTACTATGTTCATTGGAACTTCCTCCTGGCAGCGCAGATTGAAATTTTCCCAATCTGATACCACGTTTGTTAAAAGCTTTTGTTTTATTCTATTAAAAGTAATAATAATGTTTTGATTTAGAATAAAATGTTTCACTATGTTTAAATTAATATCAATGAATACTATATATTTATTATACATACTTTGTGAGCAATTAGTAAAGTTCTTTTGCCTTCAGGACAAGGAACTACCATCCATTTTTCCAGAATATCTTGAGGTGCTTCGAACATCCATTCTGATAACATAAATTGATTGGCATACTGTTTACATCGTTCATATTTTCTCCAAGACTTATTATTGTAATATTCAATTTCCATATCTTCTTTATCTTCATATTCTTTATTTTTAGAGTTAAAAATATCAAATATATCTCGTCCAGTATTAAACATGATATTTCTATTTCTATATAAAAAAAATAAACGATATACATTCAACGTTTTTCCAGACAGTTTAGTTTTTTAATGTAAATTTACAATCACAGTTCAATGAAATATTTATAAAAATTATTTTCAAATAAATTATTAAGAATGCTTTATAATAAATTACTTGTTAATGTATAATGAGAATTAAATGAGTTAATCAATATAGTTATTTTAGAATCATATAGTTTTTATTTTTAATTCACTAAGAATATATTTACATTATTTTTTTAACATATAATAATACTTACTTTTTTTGAATTTCTAAAAGTTGCTGTCGTCTAAGTTCTTGAGGATTATAAACATTGTCAACATCTAAGTTATAATTACATTTTTTAATTGGTTTCTTGTAAAACACAGATCGTATATTTTTACATTGTTTTCTGTTAACATTTTCTAGATTAATATCTATTGATGCCATAGTTGTGTTTCACGTTTTTAAAATAATTAATTGTAATATAATATATATAATAATACTGTATAACCTATAACTTTATTGCACCACTGTACATACTTGAATCATATAAATAAATGTATTTTAATCAGGCGAAGAATGAAGAAAGTTATAGATCGAATGAAGAGAGAGCAATATAGGACCGTAGACTGAAACGTCATCTGGTGGATCAATAAGTAATTTTAACTTTATTTTGGTGTAGAACCGTATTCAGTTGGTAAAAACAAAACTTGGTTATTTTTTTTTTTATATGATTTTATATTATATATAATATAATATAAAATCATTAATTAATCATATTTTACATATAATATGATTTTTTATTTATTCAATCAATAAATTATCATTGTTTTATTTAATTTTATTTAAAAAAAAAAAAATGTTAACAGCACACGGTGTTCCCAAGCGGTCACCCATCCAAGTACTAACCGTGCCCAGTG